GCTAAAGTACTCATATCGCCTGAGGTGCAAGGCACAAAAAGGCACTTGCCAGACTCATGTCAAGCGCGCTGTATAGAAAATAGAAAATATTATGTATGCATATTCTAGAATTACCAAATATGATCAACAACATATTGAACTAAATGCATTAAAAATTCATACTCACAAAAACAAAGTTATGAGTCACAATAAGTCAATAACAGGACACCAATTCAGAAGCCATAATTTAAGTCTTAATAATAAAACTCTGATAGACACTCCAATTCTAGCAGAATACTTTTGTATATTCAACACTAGAATGCTGAGGAAATTCTCAGATTCCTTAAGGGATTACAATTCAACGTAAGAAACTAGCACAGAAGAAAAGAGAAAGATATGATTGAGACACTTAGAGTAGTCTCTACACTCCCAAGTCACAGTCCCAACTAAATTTTTGCCTAACTTCTGATTTCTCCCCTCCCTTCTATTTATACTACCCGTACAGTTAGTACTACTGCTACTACTACTATTATTATTATTATTATTATTAACTTGAGCCTATGCTCCTATCATATCTCCCCCCTTAGACAACCACCTTGTCCTCAAGGTGGGGGAGCATTATCCCTTCCCAGTTGGATAATGCTCCCCCGCTTTGTCACTCATTAAGATATCTATAAGCCAAGAGATAAAAGCATTCACATGCTCCTGTTTGGATTGCCTAAGAAAAGAGCTACCGGTACAGATTGCTCGTTGAACAGCTTCACAATGAGTGTTCAGTACATCCCACAATGTTCTAGCAGCTGTGATTCCGTTAACAGATTCTTGTTTTAAAGATAGATCCACGAGGAATATCTGGGAGACATCAATTACAACAGCCTAAAAGGTAGAGTCCAGATCCACATTGAATCCACCCAAATGATATTCAAAATCAAACTCATCAGCCCAGCTCAGTCCAGAATCTGAGGAATCCCAGACTAGAAGCATGACAATCTTGTATTCTGACAGAACACTTTCTTGAATAGATGAAACATCAGTTGAAGAGCATAATGACTGCTGCATTGACACTGTTAGTCGACCAAATTGATTATTAACTGAGTACTTGGCACTTGGCAGAAAGTACCAAATTGCAACCTTCAATATCAAGAACCAAAAGCTGGTAAATTTCAAAACCAGGTTTCAAGATAGACTTCCTTAACCAAGCAAGATTACTATGATCGTATAAATGTTCTGGAAGGATCATTCCTTTCAAAAAAAAAAAAAAAACTTGAGCATCAGTAGTAACTAGATCAATGGTTCCAGAAATGACCTCTCCCGGTTTAACCAATCCATTCTCGAACAGCCTCATCGGTCTTGTTGTAAAACTGAGGTTGATTCGTGTTGCTGTAGGGTTAGAACTGACCTCTCTGCAATTAACAACTTGCTCAACATGATACCTTAAGTTTATATCCGAGCTAGGATCTACTCCAAACTCAGACAGCGAAACCAAACCTTGCACTCCTCCACTATAGACCCGAACAAAGCTACCATGCTTTTCAATCTTCATTCATCCCTGTGTCATTAGTCCTTCAGTAGTATCGGTGTATGAGCTGAGTATTCCATGCTTAATTTTAACCAGAGTTTTCTTATGGGTAACCAATCACACGAAAGGCTATTTCAGGCTCCACCTGAAAACTTTTTCCCGGCTTTACAATTTCAATTTCTAACATATGTCGTAGAGGGCAAATCGCTTTCATGCCACTTGCAAATTGCAAAATGGCACAAAAACTGTCAACAGTAATAACATTACCATTTACTATCATCCCCAGCTTGGCATCTGATTGAGTGAAAACTGATTCTTTAAATGCAATATTCTGTGGATCATCGTCCAACAAATTCCTTTCCAAAGCACTCAAGACTAAGACAACACCTGCACCACAGGATCTTGGCCCTGTTCAACATAAGCAACACTATTCTCTCTCCATCTGCTATTAGCAAATTTGTGAGTACTGTCACCCTTTTTCCCATCTTTATCTCTTTTACGGAGTATCTTGATCCATTTACCAGCAATAGTAATATTAGACAGGTAGTCAAAACCTACAATTCCCTCTTGAACAGATATACCAACCGCTGGCAGCCTCCTAACATCTTCTCCAACGATAATGGTATCTGGGAAGAGACCAGGATTGAGATCATTGGCAAGCATAAGATTCACGTCAGCATCAACTTCAGTAACATATCCAAAGTAATGAATTTGGTGAGACCAGCCCTCTTTATCCTTGCCCGTGTCCTTGTTGATCCATTCCAAGGTCCCATCTGTGTGCTCTGGACGATTACTTTCCTGATGAGGAAGAATGTCAACTTCGCTCTGGTCTGAAGGTGTTATTTCAGCCGGCTTCAAATCAGTTTTCGATTCCGGAGAAACTTGCGCACGTTAATACGCGGTTTAAGAAAAGGCGAGCGACTGCGAACGGGTGACTTCTGACTGCGACACAGTCTGTGAATGGGAGAGCTCCTCTGGCGATGAAGCTAGCGCAATGTGAGACGCGGCTTGAGATGCCATCTGTGAACGGGTAGAAGCCTCTCGCGATGATGATCAGTGAGAAACGGGTAGCGAAAGCGAACTGGAACTGTGAGACGTGGCTAGAGACTGAGAAGAAACATGTGAACTCAGAGAAACGGTTTGCGACGACGAGGACTGGTGAGGAGCAGCTACTGTCGATCACGTTGAGCCCTGTCACCGTCTAGAAGTTCGTGACTGTCCCCTGGTTCTACGGCAATTTTGATTCATCGCCGGTTAACGCAGATCGGCCATCATACTGTCCATCATTCCGTGCATATTACGCATCTCCTCCATGTTACGATCCATAGAATTCTATTGTATATTCAACAATAGAATGCTTGGGAAATTCTCAAATTCCCTAACGGATTACAATTCAAGGTAAGAAATTAGCACAGATGAAAGAGAAAGATACGATTGAGACACTTAGAGTGGTCTCAGCACTCCCAAGTCTCAGTCCCAACTAAATTTCTGCCTAACTTCTTATTTCTTCCCTCACTTCTATTTATACTACCCGTACAGTTACTACTATTATTATTATTAACTTCAGCCTATGTTCCTATCAAACTCAAACTTAAGTTCAGTTTTATCCTAGCCCAATTCTCAATTCACAACCCTCAAGGATCATTCATCATTAAAAGAGGAGTCCATATCCTATTAGCAGTACTAATTTCAGTTGGCAACACGTAAAGTTCACTGCCCATATGCATAAAGTATAAATAAATAAAGGGAAAACTATCAAATAAGCCCCCGTACTATACCGAAAAAGTCGATTCGGCCCTCGTACTTTACAAACACTCAATTAAGTCCTCGAACTATTAAAAAACGTTCAATTAAGTCCTTTCGATTAGTAAGTAACTGGTTTCCCGGTTAAATGTAACCCATTTCCCGGCAGCCGTCGTTGTTGGGGTTCAAGCACATCGCCGTCGTCGTCGCCGATTAACCGGGAAACCGGTTACTTACCGACCGAAAGGGCTTAATTGAACGTTTTTTAATAGTTCGAGGACTTAATTGAGTGTTTGTAAAGTACAAGGGCCTAATCGACTTTTTCGGTATAGTACAGGGGCTTATTTGATAGTTTTCCCATAAATAAATAAAATGTGAGAGAAAGGAATACAACAACAACATTACCTCAGTACCCCAAGGGCTCCCACCAATGGTGGGGTAAGGGGGTTTGGATGTACGCAACCTTACCTACTAAAGCATAGTGAGACTGTTTCCGGTTGAGATAAAGGAATACATGATTTTAAAATATAAAGCATGTCAGAAAAAAAAACAAAAAATAAAAATAAAAACTTGTTAGGAGAAGATGTAAAACAGAAGACAACAACAACAACAACATCCAAGCCTTAATCCCAAAAAAATTAGATAGAACTTTAAATGAAAAGATAGAAACAAAGAAAAAAGATATAGCGCATACATTCAAAGTAGGAAAAGAAAAATATAGAAAATAAGAAAGAACGAAAATGAAAAAAGAAAGAATTAACTCATAATGAGAAGAAGGAGGTTACATTTTACGTGTCCTGTGATTCGAAAGCAAGAGACAACTTCTTATTACTATAGTTTTGAGAAGGGTTTTATACTTTTATGTTGTTTTTCCCTATTATTTGGATGGGTCATATCTTATTTTGAATATGAGTTCATATTAAATAGGCCCTAATCTTATATACAAAACAAAACAAGTTTAGAAGCCTTTCCCAACCCAAGCGCAACAGCCGTGCGCTTATGCGCCTCTGCAATTCATGCACTTATTGCACTTTATTTGTGCTTGAGGCACATCCCTGCGCCTGGAAAAATATTAAGGCGCTACCCATTTTCAGCGCCTCGCCTGGTGTGCTTAAATACTCAGCAGCTCAGCGAGCGGTTTTGGCAAATCTATATGTTTAAGTTCTGCGAGGCATGAGCCTTCACCTCGAGTGGTCGCACCTTGGCTAAATTTAACAAAAAAAACCATCCTGGCGTCCCAGGCCTTCTAAAACTAAGAATACCTCAACTCTAAAGTGTGTAAACATATATCTATACTATTATAGAATATTAGAATGTACATTGAATCTCTAATTCTGTCTTAACTACTCTAACTACAAGGACCTAGAGAATTCCTGAGAATTCTTGGAACTATGATGGTGGTTTAGGTGAGGAAACCTTCGAGGTTTTAGGTCAAGACAAAGAGGGCTGAGACACATAGCTAGGAAAGAGAACGAACACTATACTAATAATACAAATGGATGATGAATACTTGAACTCATTTATCCAGTTAAAAACTCGTAATTGTAACTATCTCAAAACATTTCAATTATGAAGCTTATCTCCTTTAGCACTCGTGACTGATAAAAAATGATCGGCAATAAATCATCTGAACATATCCCCAATTTTATTTTGATTATAAGAAAACACCCAACATTAATGTATAATAATTCGATTTGATTGAAATATGTATGGATAACTAGGTCACAAATTGAGTGATAGCAAAATGTGGTGCGCTGACCTTTCAGAAAGTTGGTGACCTACTTGAAACCCAATGGCTTCGATCCGTCGGGCGGCGAGCTCCGGTTTATCGGCATAGAAACCATTGCAGTAGGAAGAAACAATCTCCGTCAGCAAACTCTCTACACAGCTCTCAGATACCTCCCTCCCCATTTTTCAACTCTCTCTTTCTCGGTGGCTTCCAGCCTTGACCCGTTCCCTTAGCTGATCCCCGCCCAAAACCATTTTTTTATGTCCAACTAAGTATATTAATTCACCAATGTGATGTGATGTGTCATAAGGGTTACAATAGTGTCAGGGATAACATCATAACAACAGGACTGATCTGACACGATTCGCAGATCGCTTATAAAGAGAGACAACAAAATTACTCTTATCTTTCAACATATTTCTAATATCATCAAGAATAAGAAAAGGTAAGAAGATTCTCCCCCATTTTTAAGACCTTGGACCATCGAGAGAGCATCAGTCTCAATCTCCACGTGTGACCATCCTGCTTCGGCCGCCCCCATCAAAGCATCACGAACGCCCATTGCCTCTGTTTCCATTACCGACCAACTAACTAGTTCGGAGACCCCTTTCGCCTTTAGAAAGTTATCATGGTGGTCTCGTGCAACCCACCCTCAGGCCCGAATATATTTATTTTCGTCCACCGCCCCATCCACATTTATCTTAACATAGCCATCCTATGGTCGTTTCCAAACTATCAGGGAATTAGTTTCTTTCCTTACCTGCTCTGTTCGTCTAGTGCCTTACGCATCTCTCCAGCTCGATACGTCGCATTGATTACCCCCGCAACCCCTTGTCATCTATCCTTTCAGACACAACCATTCCTCCTCTTCCATAGGCTCCACAAAATAGCAATGAATATGCATCGATCTTCCCCATTCAGTCCAAATAGGTGCTGCCAAATCCATGTATTCACAGGGTCCGCCGGGCTGCCCAGATCAACACCTACCTGCCTCCAGACCTCTTTAGCTCGTTCACATAACTGAAACGCATGATCTGTTGTTTCGCTATCATCTCTGCACACTTTACACCCTTCAAGAACCTGCACTGCTTTGTTCCTCAAATTATCAACAGTAGGGAGAGAGCCATCAATGACCTGCCAAACGAAATATTTAAGCTTCAGTGGGATATGCGAATCCCATAGCCGAGCCCAGTTAGTTCCATCCTCGGTTTTTCAATTCTCCTGTAAGTAAGAGGTAGCAGCTCTTAACAGAATAAATACCACTATTTTCCCCATTCCACCAATACTCATCCTTCCTGTCATAAGAACCAATAGGGGTGCTCAAAATCTTCCGCCTATCTTCTGCATTGAAAATATTAGCAATTCTCCCTATGTTCCACTTTTTCCCTGTGATATCACACAGGGCTGCAACATTCATGTCTCTAATTCCTGTCGATCTGGCAGATGTAACCCGCCCCTCTCCAGGGAGCCAAGCATCGAACCACACCTGGACATCGATCCCCGCCCAAAACCGTAAATAATGGAAATACTTTGTAGAGTAAGAAATAATTACATAAATATTACCAAAATAAAGGTGGTTTACAAAAATATGACTAGTTGCTGGAGGAGTAATGAAATCATGGTAATTTATGTTCAAGTTTTGAACTTAAGTTACCACAACACTATGTTGTAGTAATGAATAGTCATATTTATGCAAATAAGTTTTATTTTAGTAATATTCTTGTAAAAAAACTTACTAATACGAGTAAAACTTAGGTTAAAATTCAATAGTAAAACTTCCTATGATTTTATTCCCAAATAGGTCCCAATTATGCCGATTATGAAACATAGGGACATTAACATTACATTTTTGCCCCTGAACCTATTTCTCCCACATCTCTACGCGTCACATGACCAATTTCAACAAATCGGCCTCTTGTGTCTCTCCACCCCCTCTGCGTCATATGACTCATATCCATGGAGTTCCTCTGCAATGCACATCGGATCGGTCATTTTCTTTTTCCTTATGCATCATATCGATCGATTCCACCGACGCCGCACGCCATCGTCGACTCCCCAACCCTAGTCATCGCCACTATCATTGACTCCACTGCACACAACAGCCAGTCAGATTTCTTATTCTCCTCCTCTTTCTTCTTCTGAATTTTAACATTGACTTTTCAGATTTTCCTCCTATTCTTCTGTTTTTATGAGTTTTGGCATTCATTTGGCTGATTTTTGGACCTCTATTTCGTATTACCGACTTAGATTTGCTACTTTTAAAAAAAAAAACCTTATTTTCTGGAATTTTGGTTGATGGCATAAGATTTTTTCAAATTTATGGTAGAAATGTATATACTGGCCGAATAGATTTTGTGTAAATCAGTTTTTGATTTTTCGTCATTAGTTTCGTATTTATGACTTTCGAGTGTATTAAAGTGTTTATTCCTTTGAAAAAACATTTTTCTAATATTTGGTTGTTGAGTTCATATGTTTGCCAATTTCATGGCAGTTTTTTGGTATTCATCCAAGACAAATTTGCCAACATTGTTGGCAGATTTAAGAGTTCATACGAATGGCAGATTGATGGTATTGGTGTTGTGAAGGTGGTTGTGGTGCTTGGAAGATTAGTAGTGGCGCTTGGAGGTTTAGTAGTGGCCTCCAAATTTGACTTTCATGATAGTTTTGCTTAAAGGCATCGCGATGACCGACAAGGGCGGCGGCGCGGGTGGCTGAAGTGCTCCTATTGAAATTTTAGAGTTTCATTCAAATATAATTTGAATGGGGGCATTTTTGTACAATTAAGTGATTTTAAGTCCTATGAAACATGGTTTTACCTTTTTTGTCCTATTTGTGCAAACGGGTAGTAATTTACTCACAATGGAAAAGATCAGATATTAAAAAGGGGAATTTCACTTTGCATCAACAAATTTGACTTAGCACTCGGTTTTGAAAAATATCTGTATTTGGACCCTAGCACTAAACGGTCAGTTAGTTAGACTTGAAGAAATTTGAAAGATACAATAATGCCCTAAAGTAAGGTGATTGTTTACAATACTCTACAAAGTGTTTCTCCAGCATGCTGTTGCTCTATAAAAATCGAACAAAACTGAATTGAACTAAAGAAATTCAATAAAACTTTCATTTATTATTAAAAATTAGAAATCCAAATCGAACCGAACTAAACCGAACTGAAGCAAACTGAAAAATAGTATGGTTTTGTTTGGTAATAATCAGGCCAACGTCCATTCACTGTTGCAGCATTCTTTAATCTTCTCTACCAATGCAAAACAAAAGTTTCCATTATTCTTGAGAGCTTCCATTATCATATATGTAAAACATGGACTTGACACATATCCATGAACAAAGTTCTTCAGCATCAGAACATAATGATGAAGAAATTGGATGAAATCAAATTGAAAATTTAGAAACAATTCTAGAAGATTTTTTTGTTTGTTTCAAGATCAGTAGCAACAAGCAAATATTTAATTAAAATCAATTTAGTTTTTTCTAACGATTATAAAATTGAAACAATCACACTTTTTTATACACGAGCAGATTTAAATTGTTTAAAAAGTTGCATTGTACCAAACAAATTTCTACAAAAACTAACGAAAAACTTGTGGCTAAGAATACTAATATGATTATATAAAATAAAGCAGAAGCATCTATTAAAAATGAAAATATCTCAATCAAAACTCCCTATGTTTTAGTAGAAAAAATAAGTCATAGTGTCACTTTAGGGACCCCCCCTCATTAATATGATTACTCTCTATTTCGTAAACTACGATAACAGATGATTCAAAGCTAAACAAAACAAAATTGTTTTCCCTTTTATTGAAAAAACTAGATCAAAGAATTTTAACCTCCTCAAAGTTTTTTCTGTTTACAGAAGTGAATTAAATTGTATAACCAAAGCAAGAGAAAAACACTTGTACTTTTTCAAACAAGACATTTCTTTTCTCAAAATAGAAGTGCATTTAAAAAATAATTTCATAAAACAAAAAAATCAGAAATTCAAAAAAGAATTGAAAAATAAATTTGTTCTAATATACCACATGTTTTTTGGAATGTAAACAACACATGGTCGATTTACCATACAAAAAGATTTTTTCTGACAAACAAATTGCTACGAAAGAGACTAATTTTATCAAATTTCCGGATATCAATTTGAGAGAGAAAATGTTTTTACTTGGACTGTTTTTCGTCCCAAACCAGACTAGATCAGACCATATCAGACCAAACTTGAACAATTATAAAATACACAGAGACCAGACATTTACCAGTCCAGACCAGGCCTGAAAATTCCAGTCCTAGTAAAAACATCTAGAGTTGTAAAGAATAAGACCAAAAGTTCTCTCGTTCATTAGCGCATAGTGCATACATATACAAGGGAGAATGGGTTAGGGTTAAGAGATAATCGGGTCAGATCCCAAGAATATATATGGGATGGGGAGAGTTATGGACATTCACATATTACCTAGCACTCCGCTTTGAATGCACATTGCTAAAAAATGCATTACAAGAAAAATATTCATTATTCTCTTTATATACCAATGTTCTAAAATTCACTAGGCGCTAGCCAGGCAGCAAAGCACCGCCTAGCGCCTAGGGCGACTTGGCGCTGATTAGTCGCCGACTAGGCGGCCAACTGGATTTCAACGTAATACCAAAAAAACATAAATATTCTTAGCAAAAATACTACATTAAACAAATAAAGTTTAAAGTTTATATAAACATAATAATTAATAAGTTGTTAGGACTGCAAATCTGCAATTTACAACAATTAAAACTTCACAATGAGCTTATAAGGTTTTAAATCAAATGCTAGAGTATAACAACTAATAATAGTACTCAAATGTCAATACACCATGATCACAAGGGACATTAGTATAGTCAGAAATCCCAAATTGCGCAGCATCAGTTTGATCTTCAATCAACATGGTCCATGCAACACCATTTTATAGCTTTTAGAAGATACTTTTAATTACACAAACTGCACAACAATACATACCAAAATCTGGAACAAAGATAATTATGATGCTTTAGTAACTCATGTGCAAATGTAGTTAGATGCAATGAGTTATCTAGCCTATCTTTCATTTTTTTCATCAATAATATCATATATAGGCTGATAGTTTTTCTCCAAATATCGCTTGCTTCCTTAATTGAGTTCTTAGCTTCTATAATACTTCCGTAAATAAATCCCAATGTTGTCTTACTCCATCTATGAGGCGAAGAACACTCACTAGAGGCGCATATATGGCTAAGCATAAACTGATAGAACTCC